GCTGAAGCAACAAACAGCACCCCTAATTGTTAGAACGAAGAAAGGAAGGATTTTTTGTTTTTCTCTGTTTCCTTCTCGCGTTATGCTTGCTAATTTGGTTTAATGGTTCAAACAAGTAGACTTACAAACGGATAATAAAAGCAAGAAAAAAAAAGATCTTATTCAAATACTTACAGTGAGAAAGAAAAAGAAAGAGAGAGAGAGAAAGAAAGAAAGAGAAATAAGAAGTAATATCATTAATGTCATTAATGCAAGTGCGTCTGTAAAGGTAGCAAAATGGTAATTTCCCTCACACAGTCAAATGTGGGCGAATACTAACGTTTTGTATATTTCTACGTTACACCGCGTAATGCATTTGAAGATAATAAAAGATTATATATATATATGTATAAGAAAAAAATCAATAAAGAAAAATAAGAAGAGGAATGAAATGATAATAAAAACGGCAGATGTTGTTGAAGTGATTTTCTATCTTTATCTTCTTTTCTTTAGCTTTTTTTTCTCTCTTATTCTTACTCTCTTTTCTTTGTTGTTGTTGTTGTTTTTTTTCTTGTTATTTGTCAGGGTCTTTGCAGTCCTGGATAGTAAAATCGCTTGAAGCTTTGCTTTTTAAAATTATTTATTTGAATACGTGTCTTTTCTTTTTGTTTGTTTCTGGCTCTTTCTTTATTTATTTAAGTGACTGTGTGTATTATCGATACTAGCTTAGTGGTAGTTCATAACGACCCAGACACAGACACAGTTATATATATATATATATATTAACACAGGAGGTGGGGGAGAGAAAGTAAAACAAAAAAACAAAAAACTTATGAGTATAGAACAGAAGCGTATAGCGAGGGGTCTTCATGATCATCTTCGTCGTCTCTCTCAGAGAATACCAGGTGGAAACGGAGATGGATTTGATGAAGAGATGAATGAACTTCGAGCGGTAGATCACCGTGTACAAAGTAATTTAGATGAGTTTTACACCTCTTCACTTGCGACTAATATGTCCAAAAACCGCTTTACTGAAGTACGAGCTAACGAAACCACCCGGGTACGTCTCCAACCACTTAAAGAGATGGATCCTAATCCGTATATTAATGCTAACTACATAGATGGACGAGAATTATTCGATTTACCTTTCACATATATAGCTACACAAGCCCCTCTTCAGAATACAATCCTTGATTTTTGGCAAATGGTGTATGAAAATAAAGTTGTTTTTATAGTTATGCTATGTGCCGAATTAGAGTCTGGAAAGGTTAAAAGTGAAGTTTATTGGCCAGAAAAAGGTAAGGAAATGGATTTTGGTTTCTTGCATGTTGTCTCAGTGAGTGAAACTCATGTATTTGACTTGGTATTTCGTACATTTCTCCTCTGTACACCACATGGTGAAAAGCGGTATGTTCAACACATGCAATATATTGGATGGCCTGACCAAGGTATTCCAAATACCAGTGCTCCATTAATGGAAATTATTCAAACTATTGGAAAGTCTGAAGCTAGTATTCAAACTCCTATTATTGTACATTGTTCTGGAGGTATTGGTCGTACAGGAGTTTTTATTGCCCTTCATATAGCACTAGCACAATTTCAACTAGAAAGGAAAGAAATAGACATCAAACATATCGTTCATACTCTTAAACTTACTCGTAGTGGAATGGTTCAACGAAAAGATCAGTTTCTCTTCCTTTGTTATGCTGTACTTCGTGAAATGGACCGAATGATATTATCTGCGGAAAAAGGGGTTGATTTGTTAAAAATGCGTCATCGAGAGACAGCATCCAAACGAAACGCTCTAACAGGTCCAGAAAAGCCTTTAATGGGGTCCTCTTTTCCAAGACCAGAGTTAACAGCACCACTGCAAAACCAACATCCACAACAGCAAGAATTACCAGTTTACATAACGCATACTGGAACACAGGGAATACCATTAGTTCGGGGAAAAGAATTTTCACAACGTGGGGATTCTCTTTTCTATCCACATCGTCGAACAGATCTCACAGAGGCAGAAAAGCATTTGTTAGAAACTTACTTGAGACAACAAAGAACATCTACACGTCAAGTAGCTTTAAATCCTCAGAAATCTGGAGATATTAACGAGAAACCTACTCCTGTAAACGCAGAGAGGATGAAAAATGATAATGACAATATGATTAAAGGGGAATCTACTAGAGGTGAAAAAATTACATTAGAAGAACAACTAAAAGAATGGCAAATTAGAAATAAAAAAATGCGTTTCTCAACAGATATGAGAGAAAAAGAAGTTATACGAAACGTTGAAGGAGAAACCCGAAACGCTAAAAGCAGCAGAGGCACAGGGAGCCAGGTTCAAAAACCCTCACCCACAGAAAGTCTCGCAACAGAAAGGGGTCGAGTACAAGAAAAGCAGTCGTACTCATTTTTAACACATGATGAAGTTACGAATTCAGATCAAAGCAATCACCCTGTTTCAATCATCATAACCCCACAAGAAGCCACTACAAGAAATTCTGATCTTTTGACATACACAGGTGCTAATGGCGGCACCCCGGGCAGTCTTTCCCACACCACAGGCAGTGAACGTCACCAGCCGCGAGACCAACAGGAACAAGAACAAGAGCAGAAGCAACACGTTTCGCAGACGTCATCGCAAACAAGCCTTAGGGGGTCGATAAAAGAAATTTCAGGTGCGGAAACGGCAGGGAGAGAAGACAGGTTGCAGGCAGCAGCTGCAGACTTCGAGAACCCAGACCTTTTTAAGCGAACCCCTCCGCCACCTCGGAATGCCATCACCGAGGAGGAACTCGAAAAACTTTGAAAGGGGGAACGGTGTTTGGAAAAGCATCCTGTTTTTGTATATATATATTTCTGTTGTTCTTGTTCTTTTTCTCTCTTCTTTAGGGGCTCTGGGGTTTTGCACTTCGGTTTGTGGTGGTAGGATGTTCTCTCTTTTTTTCTTGTTTTTTCTCTGGTTTCTGAAAGTTTTAGGCGGGAAGGAAGGAAGGAAGGGCAAAGGGTCGCTGCCCACTAGTTTTTTAGTTTTTTTTTTTTTTTTTGTGAGCCCGAGGAAAGAATGCATATCCTGATTTGGTCTACGAAAGTCCAGGCTTTTTGCAGGGTTGTGTAATCTTCTTATTTCTTTCCTTGGGTTTTCTTCTAGTCTAAAAGAGACTCTGGTCGAAGAAGTTGAAGGCCTTTTAGTTTGGTTTTTTTTTTTTCCTCCCACACACACTCCCTAGCCCCTCCACGTGGAAGGATCTGGAGAGGAAGTGGGACCTTAGAATCTGCCTCTTTGTAACCTCTCTCCGGAGATTCTTCTGGTACAAAAGGGAAGTTGATATTTAATAAATTGTCTTTACGTTTCTTGTCATGGAACGCTCGTGTTGGTATTAATAGGAACTTCATAGAAACCATTTGTTTCTTCGTTTCTGTTTATTTGTTTGCAGGGTTTGACCGAAGTAGGAAGCCCATTCTATTATCGAATTCAGTAACAGGTACGGACGCTGAATCACAGAGAAAAAAACGGAAATGAGAATCAAATTACCAAAGAACTATAATAACACGGCAACGTTTTGTAAAACCGACGAGCAAGCCGCGGAAGATGCTCAAAAGGAAAAAGAAAATAGACGGCGTTCTCTTAATGCTGCTAATATTTCTGGAATAAATACAAAGGAACTGCCACTGCTGTTGTTGCTCTCAATGTGCGCTGAGCACTGTGGTGGGGTCCATCTAAAGAGTGTTGGTAATCACTTGTTTACTGTTAAAAATAATACAATTGCTACTGTATTCAGTACATTGAGCACCGAGAAAATTAATTCCGATGACACCCATTGGGCTAGGGTGCATCACTTTTTTGTGTGGAAATACCTAATCTCTTTTCATTTTTATACTTGTAAGCAGAGTATTGCTGTGCACCTTGTGGTGTGTCTCACTCTGCAATTGTGTGGTTCTGGTAAATGATATCTCTTTTTTTATTTGCTTTCACATTATTTCTGAGCGGGGTAACATATAATTTGTTTGTTCCTATGGGACAGGGAGAAACCAACACAAAGAGAGATTTATACATTATTCGTTATTGTTTTTGTGTGTGTGGCTATCTCTGCAATGTTACCAAATGATATTCAATTCGTTTATAATCTTTTCTTTTTTATTTGGGATTTTATGGGACTACATTTTGTTTGAATAATGGGTGTTTTCCACTAATGTGTGTAGTTCCTTTACATTATTGTTTGATTCCATGTGTTTATGTG